GCAGTTTGCATAAATAGGAGACAACCAATTCCACGACACCTTCAGCTGCGCCGGTATGATGCCATCAGTCCCCGGCGACTTGAAGGGTTTGAACGAATTAATCGTCCAGGCCATGTGACGATCGTCCAGATGGTCGGAGAAATATAGGAACTGAAGTACAAAATATCCCAAAGAAATATTTTGACTATACTGCGAAGTACGAAGTACAATGGCTAAAAAAGAAGTACGGTTGGTCACATTAGGCATGCAGTACAACGCAATTTTTACGTTCTTTTCCATACATATGTATATACATTTTAGATTTTCAATGCCAGCAAAGTTATTTATTCAGGTGCTTTTTATTTTAGTAACCGAAGACAAATCTCTTTTTGTACGATTTTTATGTTATTTCACCACTTTAGTTAAGAAAAATTTCAAAGCAGAGCCTTTGAATATAGTAAATATTATACAAAAATTAATTTTCCTTAAGTCTTCGTAAGCAGATAGAATTATTCTTGCAAAACTGCAAAGAGTTGGGGACATGTCATGCTGCCCATCTAGGCTAGCTGCATAGACAGGAGCAGAACTTAGAGGACTTAGAGGACGTATTTTCAGCAGAGGTGGCTGCTAAAGAGAAATCAATCGATTGGCTATATAATAATATAATAACTATTAGAAGTGTAAATATCAACTGTGACAGCCAGGAGACAATCAGGTTTTTGGGATCGCCTATCTTGCAATCAAAATTCGCCATACACTATCTGATCTCCATATGAGTCTACTCGAGTTACTTTCCTAATTAAGCAGTGTCATTTTCAGTACTATATGCGGCTGATAATTGCCTAGCCGATGATATCTGGCTGCGGACAACTTTTCAAGGTTAAATTCGATGCAGGGTAAAAATGCTAACACTGAAGCCTGGAATGCATTGGAGTTTTAAGTCTTGAGCCTAGTTTTTCATCCTTGACCCAGCTCTGTACCAATGTAAGTATTTTGGATTAGGAGAACGGATCCCGTGAATTTTTTTTTTCGAAAGCAAATCCTCTTGGTCGTGAAATCAGCAAGTTCGCATCTTTTCAACACTCATATCTTTTCAGATATCTTTTATAAAGCATTTTTGCATAGAAGTTTTCGTAAAAAAGCCGATTAGGGATTTACTTTGAGACGGCTGCTACTTGCTTAATGAATTTGAAAATGTATATTTTCCAAAAGCAACTCCACAGACGCGGTTGATCAAGTTATCCGTATGTCTACATATTTCATCTCAGCAGAGTATTCAGGCACTGATATCGAAGAGTGACCAAAGCAAGGTTCGGTTAACACTTTTTCGCTTTAACGAATATCAGTAGGGTTTATGCCTCTTAGTTCCAATGCATTTGAGATAGCACCAGGCAAGACTTAAGAGAGGGATGTTTCCGGGACCGGAATTTCAATGGGCCCAAACTCTTTGGAAATTAAGTTCGAAGAAAAAAAATTTTATTTGATTTGATAAATAGAAAGCATTGTTTAAACAAATTAGTTTTTGGGGGAGGAGGTTCACGGCCCTGGATATAACCACAGGTAGTATTATTGAGCACCTCCTCAACATCTCATAAGGCTCACAGAAAGTAATCCTTAGTAGAGCCGTGGAGAGAAAATTCCTCCCGGGGGTAAATACGTATATTCAAGTATTTGAAATTAGCGCTGTCTTTTTCAGTGAATAATGCCGAGCATAAGTTCACTCTCCACTCTTAAAACAGTATTTAATCATACCCTAAAGAGTATAGCTTAAAATTAAATTTGTTAATTGAATGACTTTCGTTTTATTTGTTTAGATTTGTTTTCAATAAAAGTTTTTCCAAAAGTTCCCACTCAGTTATATACGGGTACGTATGTAGCACCACGCAGTTTTGAAAATTAAGCAATAAAATTCCACACAAACAGCAGCCAAAGTCAATTGCAAAGGTGTGGCATTAACTGATGAAAAAGTGCCGGACTATAAACAACCGTCAGCTGTACTGAGAGCAAACATGTGAAGAAAGTGTCGAGCGAAATACGTAGTTACAGAAGTTTTTTCTAAGTATATCATTTCCCAACAGTATATTTGCTTTCAAACCCATGCATGTTCGTGTATATTGTATGTTTGTACATATGTAATTCTGCGTGTGTATGCTCCTTCGGATGCTCTAGTGAGCATGTTACACGCGACGACAGTGACGCCGATACTTGAGAAACTCTTAATCTTTGCAACTTTTTAATTACTTTTTCTAAAAGTTGGCAGTATTTTAAATTGTTTAGAAAAGTTGGTGGTACAGTAAAAAATGGAATTCGAAATAAAACAACGTCTACAAAATAGCAGAAGCAATACAACAGAGTGCAAATAGCAAAAAAACAAAGCAACCAAAACTTAACAGAAAGAAGAAACTGAAAAGAATTGCAAACACCAAAGCCAATAGAACAAACACGCAGGCATGCAAACCGAGTGAGGTTTGCGTGCGTAGAAAAATGTGGCACACTGCATTACTAATGTGACCAACCGTACTTCTTTCGGTAGTACAGTACTTCTTTTTTAGCTCTTGTACTTCGTACTTCGAAGTACAGTAAAATGTACTTATTTGCGATATTTTGTACTTCAGGTCCTGAACTTCTGCGATCTTATGGACGATCGTCACATGTGCGATACGTTCGTTCAAACCACTTAAATCGTCGGGGACCGAGGGCATCATGCCTGCGCAGCTGCGATGTTAGGCCTACCAGTCTCTTTTCGTAGACCTGTACATAAGAAACGCGATTCCTCGCGACTGTCATTCAAGAGCTCAACATGATTATTGCAAGGAAAGGTCGGTGAATACCGCTCTGCACACATTAGTAAAGTGGTCAGAGGAAGCCTTCAGGCATAAATATTATGTAGCAGGGGCCTTCTTCGACATCGAGGGGGCCTCCAACAATGTCACTCCAGAGGTAATAGTTAAGTATATATTACGAATATAGGCTGAAACCTGAAAAGGCTTATCTACTGCTTACTTCGTGACGGCACTTTCGCAGCAGAGTGGGCGATCGCCTGCACTCAGCGCAGAGTCAATAGAGGCATTCCGCAAGGTTGTGTTCTCGTTCCCCTGCTCTGCATTGTGTTTGTAAACGACCTTCTAGTGCAACTTAAAAAGTAGCTGTCGGCTATATATATGATGTGGAACTTTTTCTTAAAAGACGATTTGTATTTGATCTGGCTCTGAACCAGGTAACTAGGTGGGTGATCAACGGCGGCCTCGCAGTAAATACCAGCAAGTCGGTACTGGTCTTCTTTACCAGGAACTCAAGATGCCCGTTGTGGACAGGGTCGAGTACTTAGGCTTTGTCCTGGATACGAAGCTGTCATGGAAGCCTAACATTGAGGAAAGGGTAAGAAAGGCGACGGTTGCCTTGTACTTCTGTAGCGGAGTTATCGGTAAAAGGTGAGGTCTCTCGTCCAAAGTAATTCATTAGCTCTATGAAACCTGATTTAAGCCTACACCTACACCTAAGTTGAACACGGAGCCTGCGGATAATGCAGACAGAATTGTCGCAGCACGAACTGCTATCAGGCTAAGGGTAACCGGGTGGTAACACTCTAGAGTTCTGGAGGGAATCGATTTCGCCCTAAACACATAGATCACAGCGCCTTCAAAATGGCTTTCAGAAGCTTCTTCTCTACCTACATATATTCCCTGAAGAGAGGACTGGCTAGGGCGGGGTTACTCGAAGAAGGGAGCGATAAACTTCTTCACGGACGAATAAAAACTTGGAGACAGGATTGGTGGGATGTCTGTTGTCGATAACTCACCACCAAAACTATGTCCAGGCTTCCGCACGGCTGCTATGTTTTTCAGATGGAAACAGCTGACATCAAGGAAGCGGTAGACTCACTACTAAAGGGTGTGATGGAGCGCTCAACATCGGTAAAGGAATGTCTGATCTCTCTATCAATCGTGTCTGAGTACTTCTTAGGTACTTCTTCTAGTTTAGGCAACGGGTCACAGTGACATCGAGGGGAAACTGCGTGGTTGATGTCCTGGCTTTGGAAAGGCACCTTTAAACCGCGATGCTCCTTTTGTGACATAAAAAAGGAAAAGAAGATGTTTATCTGGTGCAGTAAATTTTTTTATAGGGCACTCTAAAATACAGCTGTCGAGAGGAGGATGGCGTAACATTATTTCCACACTTTCTTTTAGACTGTTCAACCTTCGCGAGCCTAAGATGGAAGCATTTTGGCTCACACTTCTGAGCTTAGGGATCGAAATTAACCGCATTCCAAATTTGGTAATCGGCTCACGGTGTTTACCTAACCCAACCTAACGTTTACTTCTTTGAGCTATGAAAATGTTGGTCAAATTATGCATGACACATGTCACAAACTAGAGTGGCCATGTTGAAAGTTAGGGTTTTTATATATTTAGTTTTGAATTGAATGCTTCTATCACTCCCAAATAATATTTAAAAATCAGATCCCTATACTTTAATTTGATTTATCTGCTAATTAACTGACAAACCCGTTGGGCGTGGCACCAAGAATTGTCAACTTTTTGATCGGCTATATCTTCCAATGAGAAGTAGGATATAGAGCTCAAACCAATCAGTTGCAATCTGCAGAATGCTGGACAGTTACACATATGATGGTCAGAGGCAGCCTGGTTTTCAATACTTCCTTTTATGCGGTGCACGTCATCTAGAGGACCGCTGTGGCTGATTGGTTGGATATGCGTCCTAAAATTTCGTAACCTGTATTCGATTCTAACAGCGGTCGCCCTCGGCAGGCAATGGTAAACATCCGAGTGCATTTCTATCTTGAAACAATACATATGAAACAATATAATATATATAATATGAATAAAAAGCTAGTAACATAAAATGCTCAACTAATTTAATGCTATTATTTTTCAAACTTCAATTCAAAATTCTTCATTTATAGTCATATAGTCCCCCTCATACCAGAATCAACTGCGTATTATCAAATTTCGTATGAGTTATTTTTTAATGCAAATTTTGATTTATTATTCTCTTTGCAGATGCGGTGACCAAAGATAGTTAAAGAGTTCAAGAGTGAAACCTGAAAGAAGAAAGCTGAAAAAGGGTTGTCAAACACATATGTGACATGCCGAAAATTGCGGCTCTCGTAGGCAAGGGTATGTGACAAGCAAATGAAAAGAAACAACGAATGCAAAAAAATTTGTTTGCATACATAGACATAGCCATATAGAAGTGATGTAAAATCACTGCCAAAATACTAGCGGATTTAGTAGAACACGAATAAAAAAGGGACATAAAAATTTAAGCTCAAGCAATACGCCGCGCAGAAACAACGCACAAACAAACTGAAGGCAGAAAGTTTTCAAAGTCTGTCTTCTGACGACAGAGCAATGGCATTTGATGACTGCTGCTTGCCCGAAAATGAGACTAACCGGCAGACAAGCACGAGAACAACAACAATAGCAACAGAAGTGTCCGCAAAAGGAAAAATACAAACAGCCTTCGCAACACTTGACAACACACCACAGCTGCGTATGCAACAACAACGAAAGGGATTGTGAAAAAGAGCAAAGCAACAGCTGTAACTGCAATAACCAGCAGGACAACATTAAGCCGCATTAAACCACACTGCCGACGCCACTCGCGGAACACAGCCACTGCCACAGGCATTGCATAAAACGAGAAGCCGCAGAAAAAACCAGCTGGTGGAAAAAAAGCAATCACGCTGTTGATTGTACGACGCTTATGGTGAAAGTGCTGCTGGTCAACGACCACCAACCAACAAGCAATTCAGCTACAAAACAACAACAAAAAACTAACGCGCGCAAATAGTAAAAATCAAAAGAGGTAGAGGGAGATAGAGAAAAGGAGCAAAGGAATCTCAAATCACAGTCCTTGGGCAATTCGAGCACATTGAAATTGGAATTGACTAGCGGCAATAGAGTGTCGCTCTTTGACGTTGTTGTTGTTGTTTGTTTCGCCAGGCACTGAACTCAGTTATACTGGGCAGGCTCGTCTAGTCGCTTTTCCTCTATTTTTTTTTTTGCTTTTGCTTTATCAACACAGCAAGCAGCGAACCCTTTCACGCCTACGATAAGCAAATAGAGCAAGTAAATTGAAAAATCAAAGAATATAAATAAATAAACCAAAAGGCAAGCAGTACGAAAAACAAACAAAACCGATATATTGAGAAAAGGTCACGAAACAGCGTTAGAGCCTTATATTCGGAGAGGAGCAGCTGTCATCAGCAGCAAGTTTTTTTTTTTCAATTCTCTTTAAATTTTTGGTGGCTCACTTTCCCATTTCGTTATTTCAAAAGCACACGTTATCAGATTTACATCTGCTTCTCACCGTCAAACTACTGTTACACGTCTGACGGTTTCTGCAAGCCTCCCTCTCCTCGTCGCACACTCAAAGGCAATTCCTATCAGCGAGATGATATCAAAATTTTGGTTGAACGTTTGGTGTGCACTGGTGGTCAGCTGGTTCCCACTGCTAACCGACGGCTATCTGAATGTTTTCATCAGTCATCGCGAAGTCATCAAATTAATGGGTGAGTAAAATTTCTTAAATCCAAATCATGTATGTACTTTTACACGATCAAATTCCATTCAGTCAAAGTTTAGCATTAAATTATTTAAATGGAAAATATAATTTCGCACACAATGCACAAAATTTAAAGCACTGCGTACACTTAGTAGGGGTTAAACAAATTTTTGGGCATGCAAATTTGCATTTTTCAGTTAGTTATGCGCAGTGAACCAGAAATGTGGTTACTCATACGCCCCCGTTGCTCGCCCAGTGTTATCTGTGTGGGTGCGTATCTCCTCTTTATTTCTTTTATTTTTTGTTATTTTTAGACTATATACTATGCTTCTGCAGTTTTTTTAACGATAACATATTCATTTATTCATTTCAAAAGCAGATTGAAAGTTTTGTATTTTATGCAGCAAAATAAATGTTCGTCAACGGGGCGTATACGCAACATATTTTGATTTGACTTATTTTTACAAGCTTTTATTTATTTTGCTACTGGGTATGCATGTATGTTTATTTGGCTCTACTCTGACAATGAATTTTTAACCAACTTCCCCGATGAGTTAAAGACTTTGAACTTGAAACTTAAATAGCTCAGAAGTTGATGGCAATGCAATATGAAAGATGAATTAATTCGCTAGGTGGCCGATAAGCCTAGTGCATTTGATATTCAACACCCTTACGATTGCATAACTATCAGACATAGAATGTCCAATTTATCGCACCATCAACACTTCTTTCTAAAGAGGAGTCGGAATGTAGGCCAGCCTCGCTCTACTGCAGGGAAAATTATTTCAATATAATGTCGCCGTTGTGAAAAATTCGCAGAGTATTAGAGAAATTTTATATTTGTAGCTGCAAAGATCTCATCCGATTTTTTGTCGAATTTTCTTAAATAAAATAAACTGTGCACACTTCGATTCTTTTACAAAACTTCGGAGAAAATTTCGGCAAAGCAATGAAAATAATGTTGCTATGTGTGCAAGATTTTTGCAGTACTTTTTTAATTTTTCGTATAGAAGTTTCTTTACTTTCACTTCATACAATTTTCTTTGAAGATTCGTAAAAAAATCGTTACAGAAATGAAACACCCCTAAGGATTTCGTTAAGATTTCGGGTACTTTGGTTTGCAGGATTCCTTTTATTATAACAAATATAAATGTTTGTGAGTGAGTGAGTGTTTCTTCTGCGCCCGTAAAAATTGAACTCTTATTAGTTCTACTATACCGGCCTATTTTTTAAGAGAGTTGCCACCTTTTTAAAAAGTTAAAATTAATTAATTGATAAGGTAAATAAATGTATCAACAGTGTAGCTGTCAAATGAAAACGTTTCCCAAATGAATTATTTCGAAAATACTTTTAAGGGGGTTACCACCTGCAAACAAACTTAAAATTGAGTAATTAATAAAGAAGAAAATCAAACGAGAGGCATTAAGACCGATTTACTTCGAAAATATATTTCAAGAGGGTTGGCACCTGTTTAAAAATCTAAAACCAATTTAATTTACAAATAGGTATTTTAATACGGCTATCAAACTGCAGAGGTTTAAGAAAGCTTTATTTCAAAAACATGTTTAAAAGGAAGTAAAAAACCAATTTAAATAACAAGTTAAATAAAATATTTTAATGTGGTATAAAACGAGAGAGGTTTTACAAACGCTGTATCTATGTACATATTTGGAAAATATTTTTGAAAGAAATTGGCACCAGTTTAGACATTTAATGAAAGTTTGTGAGTGCGTATATTTTTGTGTCTTTGTATGTATAAAATTTGGCGTACAAATAGCTTATGGACTGGATTTTTATATAGAATTTTTCTTGAAAGGGGATGTCACCTGATGAGAAAACAAATCTACTTTCATCGAATCCAAGCGAACGATATTCAAGAAAGCTTTATTAGGAAAACCAACCTATTTAAAAAGTCAAATTGAATTTTATTAATAAGTTGACCGGAGTACTGTAATGTGAGTGGCAAACGAACGAGGTTTTCCATAGCTTTACTTAGAAAATATTTTGATGAGGGCTGCCACTGATTTAAAAGTAAAATCCCATTTTTTCATAAGTTAAATAAAGTAAAGTAGTGTTTCGAAAATATTTTTAAAGACGGTTGCCAACTGCTAAAAAGTCAAACTAAATTTAGTCAATAAGTAAAATGAAACATTAAAAATTATGTTCAGTCAAACGAAAGCTCTTTAAGAAGGTTTTAATTGGAAGATATTTTAAAAGGTGGTTAGTACCTGTTTATAAGTCGAATTCAATTTAATCAATTATTTTAATGTAATATTACAATATGCAAGTCAAACGAAAAGGTCGCCCCTTCACTGTGAAAACAGCTTTGAGGGGGATGCCACCTGTTTAAAAAATTAAATTCAAGAAAACATTTGCAAAATAGAAAATCTTTCGCCTCCCCAGTAAAGATAAATGAAATATAACAATGAGATATTGATGTGATGAAGAAAATACTCTTTTTCTAAAGAAATGGCAGCCTATACAAATAATTAAAAAAAAAATGTACGAAGTATGTCAGCTTTATTTTCATTTTTGATTTTAACCCATTGTATAACTGCGTACTGAATAAAAATGTTACTGCTACCTGGCACCCTTTATATTATTACACTATGATTTATGGAAGTTATTTTTTTATACTGAAATTCAAAAATCAGTTAAAATTCGACACAGGTTCTGGAACCTTGATACAATAAAACCTTTTTTCAATAAAATGTATCACTTTCGGTGATATAATTTTTCTTTGCATTTGAAATCATAGCATTAAACCGAACTTAACGCGGGTGGAGCTGTGGGCAAAAGCTAGTATATATACAGCGCCGGACTAAATTATAGGGAACAGGAATTTTTCATAATACATATATTCGAAATTTCTTATTTAAATTTTTTCCGCAATATATAGTTCATACTACGAAAAAAAAACCATAAAAATAAAATCTCTAAACTTTGTGCAAAACTCAGGAAAATTTGCATAGAAGCTTGCAACTTTTAATCGGATTTTTGAAAAAAAAAATATGGTTGTTTAGCTGATTTAAGTTTAGTATAACAAAGTGCAGGTTTGAATTTGGTAAAAAATCGCATTGATTTTTGCCATTTTTCTCCCGCAGTTTCGTCCTAACAAAAAAATTGTCGAACGTACATAATTTTTATGGAAGAAACTACATACTCAGAATTTTTGTAGCAAATCAGATAAAAAACTTGTAAATTTATATACAAATTTATTAAATTTTTTTGGGTTTTGCACAAAATTGAAAAATTTTGTTTTATATAAATAATTTGCACAAAAAAAAATAATTTTTGATTAAACACGGCCGCAAGCTCATTAAAATTGTTGAATATGAGGAGGAAAAAATAAAGAAAAAAATTTTGCATATATTGCGAAAAATTCCCAGTGCCTAATTTATTGCAGCACTGCATATATAAAATGCTCTTTCTATCTCTAAAATATATTTTTTTGCATTCCACCACATAAATTCGTTATTCGCCAAAAGTACCACTGACACACTTTCGTCCGAACAGATTGACTGATTAGTAGCGCTAGCCAAGTTTCACTTAAATTCACTTTTTCTTGCACGCGCAAAAGCACAAAGCCAGCAAAATAAATACAAATACTCAAAAAATATGTATGTATTTGTATAGCAACAAACCAAATGGCGAACTTTGAAAGTGAAAAACACTTGAAATATACAAATAAATTGCAAGCAAAGTGAAAGCCAAACAAATACAGATATGAAAGTGTTGATCAAGCCAAAAGCTGAAGCGGTTAACAATCAGGAAACGATTGAAAACAGCGGAGACTGCTTTGCCAAGCGAAATGTGAAAATGGTGAAAATATTTAATAGATTACCAGATTAAAAGCATCCTGGACGCGAAGGGAGTGGGCAAACAAACGAAAACACAAAGCCATTAAAAGAATAAATATATAATGTGCAAATATAAAAGTAACTAAGTATGTGTTTACGTTCGACAGTGTAGAAAGTTTTCGAGTGGCTTTCGAGCATATTTACAGATGTATGTATTTATAAATAAATGATACTCGAGCATATAGTAAACAGGACACGAGCGATATAAGTGGAGCTTAACTCTGCAGGCATTGTTCAATTTTATTTGCCACATACATACACACAAAATCATTTATTTTATTTTCGAAGAGGAAAACCTCGATATTAAAGTATCTGTGGAATGGAAATCATTACGGCACATACTTATTGTTGACACATAAAACCAAACAACAAAAAACTGCAAAAATATCCACGAAGAAAAACCATTCACGCTTTCGCTGTAGGTGGAGCAGTGTACCGTTAAACGCTATAGGATGAGTGATATGACATCGACAATCGCAACGCCACCGTCCACAGCTCGCGCCATATTTTCTATACGTATGTATGTATGTTTAATGGAGTACCATTTCATTAGCAAAATACTGAAGCTTCATTCGGGCGCTTTCACAAACGCAATGCATCATTAACGAAAACGCGATCCCACTGATTGTATCGAAGTAAAGGCCAGTGTGCAGCTCTCATGAAAAGTAAAAGCTCCATATAAAATGACGTACAAGAAATGGCTAAGAAATTTTCTTTAGCCAAATTTTCTTGAGGCAGTACGCAGTTCTTTCGAAATACGCTACGCTTTCTACTACGGTTTTCTAATGTTTTTTGTGAAAAAAGAGCACAAGGCAACCCATGCTTGCAACAGAAATATATGCCCGTTCCATTATTGCTTGAGGAAAGAGTGAGGCAACAGGCTGGCAGCCGCTGGCTGGGCGGCTGGTAGCACAAGTTAAAGCTAAGGCCATGCGACCTTGCCGATGAGCGATTGCCGTAATTGGAAGCCTACATGGATATGTACATTAGGGTGATTCAGAAAAAAAAAATACTTTTTTCCTCGGCACCATGCTCAAAAGTTTCGTTTAGATGCCAAAATAAATCTCTGAAAATATGAGCCCTTAATATTATTACTACGAATGTTCGCATCGCACTTTTCAATTTCCCATAAGAATAACACGGGAAG